AATATATATATATATATACTTATGCTTAAGTATATGTGTATATAACTATATATATTTAAGTATGTGTGTGTGTGTGTACACTCACACACTTATGCCTCATTATGTTGTTGTATGACGTTGAGTTGTATGACCCGTAGCTGACACTTCAGCTGGGGTTCAGAGGCAGTGAATGGCACAGTAGGAGAGTGCTTTTTTTTCTCCCACAGAGCAGCTGGTGGATTCGAATTGCTTACTTATGCATTGGCATTACAGCTTCTTAGCACTCAGCCACCTTGTTAACTGCCCTCCAGTCACTAACATTCCCAGCAGCCTTATGAATGGTAGATCTAAACCTTCTCTTCTCTCCCACCATCTTCGCGATGCCCGCCATGTTTAAGCCCATTCGGGGGTCACCATGACAATCCCTCTGGTGGAGGGTCTTCCTCTCTTTCACTGACCATCTAACCTCTCCCAGCATATTTCTCTCTAAGGACTGATTCCTTCAGAAAATATGCCCAAAGTGATAGAGAAGTAGTTTCACCACCCTTGCCTTTAAGGAGAAATCTAGTTGTATTTTCTTCAAAACAAATGTCTGTTCTTTTGCTAGTCCATGGCCTATTCAGTCCTCTTTGACAATACCACAATTCAAAGGCTTTGATTCTTCTTTTTTCTTCCTTATTCATTGTTTAACTTTCATATGCTTAAAAAGCAGTTGAGAATACTGTGGATTGATTAGACAGGAACAACCGTTGTATTAGCAGGACTTTCTTGTATACATATGGATAGTAACATATTAGAGCTTTGTTTCTGAGGCTAGATCTCTTGAAATTTTCTTTTTTGGTGATAAATGCCACACTGTTTCTTGCCAATCTACCATTTCCAGCATAGTACATAATGTGATTGTCTGCTTCAAAATGGCCAACACCTGTCCATCTCAGCTCACTAAGTGTTAGGATGTTAATCTTATATATTTCATTTCATTTCATAAATTACAGCTTCCAATTTCCCTAGATTCATAATCAATAGATTCTATGTTCCAGTTACTGAAGAATGTTTACAGTTGTTCTCCTCATTTTGAATCTTACCAGCTGTATCAGCAAATGAAGGTCTTTCATTGAGTAAAGGCTTTACTCCTTCTATGTCAGGAAGGCAGACTACTTTGAGGAGTGCGCTCTGGTGGCCTAGTGGTAAAGATCTGTGTGTCCAACCTAAAGATAAAAGGTTCAAGTCTATCAGCGGGTTTATGGGAGAAAGTTAAGCAGTCTTCTCCTGCATAATTTATGGCCTCTGAAATCTCCTGGAGGGTCAGCTATGAATTGGTTCCTACTCGATGGCATGTAACACCAACTATTTTGAGGTGCAAGCTATTTATCGGTCATATTTTGAGTGCTTTCCAACCTGAGGAACTTCTATTTCGGCCCTACATCTAACAATATTTTACCATTGTCCATAGGGTATTTCAAAGACTGTTCCTTCAGAAATGGAGGGCCAGTCCTGCTTCTTAGCCTGTCTGAGTCTGGAAGCTCCTCTGCATGATGCTGAGATGCTAGACAATTTGTGACTAGTATTTTAAATACCAGCCAAGTGGTTTATGGTGGAGAGATTTCAGCAGATCTTCCAGACTAAGGTTAAATCACTATGGTGTTGTTAGAAAGCCTCAAGTCAACTACAACTCATAGCAACCCTCACTACAGCATCCACAATATATTATATCTAAATGGGCTGATCATTAATTGACTTTGTGTCATGATAGTAACAGGTACAGGTTTGGATACAGACATTACGTGAGAGCTGTAGAAATTGGTCTGTAAAAATGTCTTTGGTTTCCTACATTTTGTTGTTGTTGTTGTTGTCAGGTGCACCACCACAACCCTATATGTAATGCAAAGAAAACACTGCCGGGCTGAGTTCTAGCCTCACAGTAGTTACTATGTTTAAGATCATTGTCAGAGCCACCATGTCAATTTATCTTGTAGAAAGTCTTCCTCTCCTTCTCGCCTTCTACTCTATTAAGCATGGTCTTGTCTTCTAGCAATTGTCCATAGAAACATTTGTTTGATTTTCCAGAAGTCTATGACAATACTCTACGTTCTTTGTCAGAACCACAATTCAAAGGCATTAGTTCTTCTTAGGTCATCCTTAAACATTGTCTAATTTACGCATGCATATGTGGTGATTGAAAAGAAATATCATAGTTTGGAGCAAATCTACTTTGGTTCTTAAAGTGACATCATTGCTATTTAACACGTTAAAGATCTCTTCTGCCTCTGATTTGACCGTTTCAAGATGTCATATCGTTCCTCGACTGCTAATTATTGAAGATTGACTATTGAGCATTGAACTTGAACTGATAATTAAAGTAAAATAAAATGCACAATTTCATTAGCACACAATGATAATCTTTGAGGAAACAGATCGTTGGGTCTTTCTCTCATAAAATACCTGTAAAGTACTAACATTTAGATTGTTGTTAGGTGCTGTGGGGTTGAGTATGACTCATAATGACTCATGAAAAATAGATCTGAACCCTGTCCTGTCCTGTACCGGATTTATAATGTCTGACACACTTGAGCCCATTGCTGCAGTCACTGTGTCAATCCACCTGATCAAGGGTCTTCTTCCCTTTCGCCATCCCTCCACCTTCTAAGCATGATATCACTTTTGAATAAATAGTCTCTGCTAGCAACATTCTCAAAGTATGTGAGATGAAGCTTTGTCATCTTTGCCTCCAAAAAGCATTCTGGCAGCATCTTCTCCAAGATTTATCTCTTTGTTCTTTTTGTAGTCTGTGGGGTTTTCTGTACTCTTGTCCAACACCACAATTCAAAGATATCAATTCTTTTTCTGTCATTTTTATACACTGTGCAGCTCTAAGAAGCATTATCAAGTGGTTTAAAAGACCATGGCCTGAATCAGTTGTACCTTAGTCCTCAAACTAACATCATTGCTTCTCAGTAATTTTGAGAACTCTCTGAGTACATATTTCCTCAGTACAATACCTCTCCTGGTTCCCTGAATTCTGGTCCCAAGAGTACTGATCTTGAATCTAAGTGAGATGAAGTCATTGAAAATTTCAATATTTGCTCCATCTAGTTTGATGGTGTCTATAGGCTCTGTGGTAAGAATATTTGTTTTCTTGATGCTGAGATGCTATCCATATCGAAAGACATACTTTTTTTTTTTCTTGAACAATAAATTTATTGTGTTTATCTGAAAAATCTCAGCAGCCCGCTCCTGAGCCCTGAGGAAGCTTGCTTTCTTCTGAGCTACCCGATCTTTCTTCTGGGCAAGAGACATTTTGGGGCGATTCCACCTCTTCTTTTTAACATCTTTCTTAGGCTTCTTCTCATAGACTGGATTCTCTCGTATGGCAGCATGTGCTTTCTTATACATCTCCTCCATCATGTCTGGAGCTACGTTGTTCTTTCTGTATTGAGAGAACTGTTTCTTATAAGCATCTTCATCTTCTTCCATTAGGTAACGCATATAATCCGCAACATTCTGACCCATGATGTGTTTCCGATGTACTTCTGCATTGAATTCCTTGCTTTCTGAATCATAACCAGTGAATTGCTTGGTACTATGAGGAATAGACAAGCCTCCATCCACAGCTCCCTTCAGAGCCCCAAACATTTTATTTCCTGTGGTAGTTCTGGCAAGGCCTGCATCCAAATAGCAGGTGAAGGCACCTGGTTGGCCATCAGTGCTTTCCACATTGTATTCATCTCCAGTTACCTCCACTTGGCCTTCATAAATCTTATCCATGCCAAACCTATTGAGAAGCCTGCGGGCCAGCAGCAGGCCAGTACAATATGCTGCAGCATAATTTGTCAAGCCAACTTTCACACCATACTTAGGAAGTTCATGAGCATAGGCTGCGCAGACTATCATATCCCCTTCTATACGGGCATAAGCAATCTGGCAAATTATATCTCTGTTGGTTACACGAACTATCATCCTGTATTTAGGTGTTTTGTACTTATTTTTATCCTGAATTACCAAGCATTTCCGAGCATAGTAATCAGTTTTACCCTCGTGTCGTCTTCTAAATTTCACTTGGTATCTCTTGAAGTAGGCCTTATTCTTGACAACTTTAACAAACCCCATCTTGCCGAACAGAGACAGAAGTGCCCAGCTCGCCAAACACCAAACAGCAACCAGCCCTATGTGGGGCGGAAAAGCGAAAGACATACTTTTTGATCTTATGCACCAAGTGTTTCAAGTCCTCCTCATTTTCAGGCAAAGTTGTATTGCCAGTGTAACACAAGCTATTGATGAGTCTTCCTCCAATCCTGATGCCACATTCTTTTTCATAAATACCAACTTTGTGAATAATTTGTTCAGCATAAAGATTGAACAGGATGCAAGCGTGATGCACACTTTTCTTAATGTTAAACCTTGTAGTATCCCCTTGCTCTGCTCACCCAGTAGCTTTTTGTCTATGTATATTAATCAAGTGTTCTGGAAGTCCCATTCTTCTCAGTTTGTTGTGATCCACACAGTCAAACGCCTTTGCATGGTCAATAAAACACAAATAGACATTAACCTAGTATCCTTTGCTTTTGGTCAGAATCCGTTTGACATCAGTGATGATATTCCTGGTGCCACAGCCTCTTCTAAACCAAGCTTGGATTTCTGGAAGTTCTTTGTCAATACAATGGTCTAGCCATTTCTGGATAATCTTCAGCACTATTTTGCTCACATGTGATACTAGTGATATTGTTCCATAATGTCCACATTCTGTTGAATCACCTTTCCTAGGAATGGGAACAGATACTTATCTTTTCCAGTCAATCAACCAGACAGCTGCCCTCCAAATTTTGTAGCATAGACTGGTGAACACCTCCAAGGTTGCATCAGTCTTTTGAAACATGTCAACTAATATCCTACACATTCCTAGAATCTTACTTTTTTTTTTTTTTACCAATTCTTTAAATGCAGCTTAAACTTCTTTCTTCATTACCATTGGCTCTTGATCATATGCAACTTAATCTTCAGGTTGACAGTAGGCTATTTTGCTGCATCACTGCCAAGTCCCCTTAGCCTTACTTTTCCTTGGTCAAAAAAAAAAAACCAAACAAAAGTCATTGCTTGTCAAGATCCACTTATTTCCCTGGAAAACTGTCTTGATTAAGATTACACACAAGAAAACTCATGGAACAGTTTTACTCTGTAGCATATAGGGTCACCACAAGTCTGGGGTCAACTTCATGGCCACTAACTAGAAAACACTTACCAGAGGCAGACAGGCAGTTCTTTCTTCTGTGGTATCTTTGGGTAGGTTTGAGTCACTGACTTTAAGACAGAGAATCAGTAATGAATGGCTTGATGCATGTAAGGACCTCCAAGATCTGTGATCAATGTTTTGGTTAGGTGTCATCAATTAATTTTTTCTGACTCATAACTATTCCATACTTACTCCATACTTTGCAGAGCGACATTTCTAAGCACTCAAGTTGCTAACAGAACATCTTAGGTTTAAATTCACCAATGGCTTTAAGGGAGACAAATGAAGCAAAGTCACTGTCATGTAGTTGGTTCAGAATCATAGTGACCCTACCTAAATGCTGCAATAGGCTGTTAATTACAGGGTAAGAAGCTGCCAATTTTTCTACCTCAAAGCAACTGGTAGATTCAAACTGCTAGTGATGCATGGCCTTTTCTTTAGCCTAGTAATTTGTAATAATCATCTCTCAATTCAGTTAGTAGGGTGGTTTGTTGTTGCTGTTATGTGCCGTCAAGTCGCCTGCGACTCATAGCGACCATATGTACAACAGCCCTAAACTCTGCCTTATCCTGGGCCAATCTCACTAGCTCCGACACACCTACCCCCATTACCCCAGTCACTGAATCAATCCATCTCATCAAGGGTCTTCCTCTCTTGTGCTGTCCCTCCACTCTCCCAAGTATGACGTCCCTCTCCAAGAACTAGTCCCTTCTTGCAACGTGTCCAAAGTATGTCAGATGAAGGTCCAGAATACTTGCCTCCAAAGAACATCCTAGATTCACCCTCTCCAGGATGAATCTGTTTGTTTTCTTAGCAGTCTATGGTGTATTCAATACTCTTCTCCAATCCCAGAGGTATGCAGTTCAAATCCACCAGATGCTCTGCTGGAGAAGGAGGGAGCAATCTCCTCCTGTACCAGTCAGATCTGATTTGACGGTGCATGTAAAAATAATACAATAAAAAGTAAAAAAAAAAAATACTCTTCTCCAGCACCACAGCTCAAAAGCATCAATTCTCCTTCTATCATCCTCAGTCACTGTCCAGCTCTCTGATGCATAGCAAGTGATTGCAAAGACCGTGGCCTGTATCAGGTGCACCTTAGTCTTCAGCTGAATTCAAGTCAACTGCATGCAACTACTTCATTATTTATAATAGCAAATAATATGACGCCTAGACTGCTTACTGCTGTTCACAGATGGTTCATGATCTCTTTTTATTTCCCCATGTGAATATACAGAGAGACACTTTTGCTGATCAATAAATATAAGGATTATTTTGAGGTCTGGTGAAATAATAAAGCACTTTCACTTTTTTAAGGTTTAATAAGCAAGGCTTAGATATTCAAAGAATAGCTTTCTTTGGAATTACTTGGCTTGTGTAGTTCTATATTCATGCTATTAACCAATTTGTCTTTATAGCTTCTTCTCCTAGGTTTTGCTAAGGTCTGCCCAATATGACATGCTGATTTTTATGCTAAAGTTTAAAGAGTAGAAGTAAAAGATCTTCTCTGCTGTTAATTGTCTTGCAATGTCTTGGGGGAAGTACAACCAGGGTCTCCTCAGAGGCAGAGATGGTGAAACTTTGTCTCATATTCTTTGGTCATGTTGTCAGGAGCGGTCAGTCCTTGGAAAAAGCCCTAAATCAGGGAAAGGTAGATAGATGGCCAGAGAATCAGAGGAAGATCTTCAACAAAATTGATTAACACAGTGAGTGTAACAATGGTCTTGAGCGTATCAGCGAACGTGAGGAGAGGGCAGGATATGATACGGCAAGGTTCAGCTCTGCTGTTAGAGGATCATTATGAGTCCTTTTTTACTTCTTGACACATAACAAACTCAACAATTACACGCTTAGAGAATCATACAAGTTCAGCAGCCTTAGTGCTTTCATGAAAATACATCAGAATGTAGAGTTATAAGATCTGAAGGGATTTTTTTTTCTTGAGAACAGCATAATCAAAGGAAGAGTGATGCCACACACAAATTGTCCTTAATATGACCAATGCTATTGGAGTTTCAGAATACGAAGCTGGAGAAGCATGCTGGCATTTCATTGCAAAAAACAAACAAAAAAACAACAAACAAAACAGAAAAAAAAACCCAACAAAACCCTTTTAGAGTAATATTTTCTCACTTCTAAAATCAAAGTATAACTTTACCATCTGTACTTCTCAGGGAAATCCTGAGCATTTAAATGTAGAAATGCATGCGTTATGTGATTTAGAAAATGAGAGTTGGACAAATATTAGTTATATGCATCAAGAATGTTAAAACAATATGCAGTAGATTGTGGGAACATGGCCCGTATAAACTTAAATCAATTTGTGTTAAAGGTTTATGAGGAGAAACTTGGCTGGGGATTTGAGAGAACGAAGAGACTGAGTTGGGAGGGGAAAACGAGAGAATGGTTATGCCGAGGTGATTCTAGGCAAGGCTCTGAGGACCACCGAGCAGAGCTTGTTTATTTCCTTGGATGTCAATCAACAGCTGGTGCAGCCTGGTGCAGATCTGTTCTAGTGATTTCCCTCCCAGACACACAGCAGCTTTGAAATGCTAATTTCTTCCCTAGCTTACACTGTGGAATGCAATTTCCTGTAACCTTCTAACCATTTGACTCTCAGTAGGAAGTGTGAACTCTGTGTGGTCACTAATGGGTCAATTTTATGAATAAAAATCCATCCAGGCACCATTTCTCCTTTCTTAGAGACATTTTCATCTTTGTTATCATTTTACAAATGCACAATGAGAGAGGACAGAGAGAATAGCAATGATCATGATGTTGGTACAGAACCAGCAAACTTTTGTTCTGCTCTACGCCAGATTGACATGAGACAGAGCTGACTTAAAGGTAACTAATACAAATAGATAATGAATAATAGATAGATGTTAGATGATAGATAGATAGATAGATAGATAGATAGATGGATAAAGTGTATTGTTGTTGCTAGGTGTGATGGAAAAGACCATGGCCTGAATCAGGTGTACCTGAGCCCTATCTTACTAATCTCTTATTGCTGGCACCTGTGAAATGATGGGGGATCCAAGACTGTTTCTTCTCTAGCATTTTTTAAGCTCATGAATCCAAGATATGCAATGTATCTCTCTATCTCTGATACATTACATACAAACATTAGACAGACCAACTCTGAGCAGTATAAACATTAAGCTTTCAGCTGCTAACAGAAAAGTTTGTAATTTGAGCTCAACCAGAGGCTCTTCATGAGAAAGGCTTAGTGATCAATTCACAAGAATCAGTCACTAAAATTCCTATGGAGAAGTTCTGCTCGGCACACACTGGTTGGTCTAAGTTGGATTCAACTTGATAGCCATCTATTTAAATAATCTAAAAATCTATGCATAGCTTTTTTGCTTTGTATTTTTCAGAATATGTATTTAATTCTGAGTACCAATTTCTAGCTATTGAGTTGTGGACTAATTTAACCCTCCTTGGTTTCATTTTCTTTTCTTGAAAATGTACATTCCCCTCTGCTGTTGTTAGGTGCTGTTGAGTTGAGTACAACTCATTGCTACCCTTTGAACAACCCCGTCTATTCTCTGCCATCTGTACAATTTCCACACACCTAAGGCATTGCTGTAGTGACTGTGTCAACCCACTTGGTTGAGAGTCTTGCTTCCCCTGTCCTCCCACCACTCTCCCAAGCATGATGGCCCTCTCCAAGGAACAGCCTTTCCTGGTAACATGCCCAAAGTATTGTATGTAAGACAGAGCTTTATCATCTTTGCCTTCAAGGAGCACACAGGTTGTACCTTCTCCAAAATCTGTTTGTTCTTTTGGTAGTGCCTGGGATATTCAGTATTCTTCTCTGATATCACAACTCACAGGCATCGCTCATCTGTCGTCTTTATTCAGTGTCAAGCTTTCCACAGCAT